TCTGACACTGGAGAAGCAACATGTTGTCTAGTAGACCATGGATGGAGTGAGAGAGAACTCTCCCTCCACACTGCACCAGTCCCCTGACAGAACCCTGAGGCTGCTTGATGGCACACCATGAAAAGTGAGTTCTAATCCTGTGGACAGCCACTCCAGTCTCACTTCTCCTCACGTATAGAGCAAGGACTAGAGGAGGCATTGTTTCCCAGTGTGTAACCACAAGATGATTCTGTGCATTGAAACAGCTTTAAATAGCACTGTATCACAGCAGCAGCAGCAACAACAACGGGTCATTTCCATCTCAGTTCTTCAGTTCTCCTAATTACGGCAATGAGAAAGCCGGGTGTTGGTTGACATGCCTTTTAAAAGACTTTCTGTTACGTGGTGCAATGTCTTTTAGATTGTTTGCATTGTATTTACTCTTACCAATGCCTTCTATCTACAGGCTGTTGGCTTTTACATTATTGTGGTAGTATTAAAGTTCTTTTTGAAGAATCTTTAGATAAACTTTAAAGTTGTACCAATGGTCCAGAATCCATTGCCTTCGAGCTGATTCTGACTCACAGCAATATGTAGGGATTGGTTCTCACAGCGATATGTAGGGATTGGTTCTCACAGCGATATGTAGGGATTGGTTCTCACAGCGATATGTAGGGAGCTGATTCTGACTCACAGCAATATGTAGGATGTAGCGTTATGTAAGAGGGTTTCCGGATTGTACTTCTTCCAAGACATGCTTGTTTGTTCTTCTGGAGGCAAAACCTTCAACTGAAGACTTGGCGGATAAGAAAGAAGGCGAATACATCAAACTCAAAGTCATTGGACAGGATAGCAGTGAGATCCACTTCAAGGTGAAAATGACAACACATCTCAAGAAACTCAAAAAATCATACTGTCAAAGACAGGGAATTCCAATGAATTCACTCAGGTTTCTCTTTGAAGGTCAGAGAATTGCTGATAATCACACTCCAAAAGAATTGGGAATGGAAGAAGAAGATGTGATTGAAGTTTATCAGGAACAAACGGGGTCATTCAACAGTTTAGATATTCTTTTAATTTTTTTTCTTTTCCCTTAATCCCTTTTTATTTTTAAAAATAGTTCTTTTGTAATGTGTTCAAAATGGAATTGAAAACTGGCACCTCTCTTGCAAACATCTGGCATTTCAAATCCTAGTGCTCAGTGTTCATTAGCGTTTTCTCATTGTGCTGACATTTGGTGATCAAACCTCAGCCCCTCATAATGTCCTCCTCTTCTTCACAGTGACCTGTGTGCACAGAGAGTCCCCTTGTCCAGGGCTGTGCATTTGCAGGCTTGTGGAATAAATAAGACCGACCATTGCAAGTGTTCCCAATGACTTTCCAATTGGCCCTGAAGTTCTAGCATTTGATTGCTTTGCTCCTGGACTGTGACTTTCAGTGGGAGATGGAAGTTCTTCAGAGAACCGAACTGTGGAAAATGACCTTTCCTGAACTTTTGAAGCTACTCTGAAAATCTGAGAGTCTGGACCAAAAGAAGAGGCCTCTCCAATTAGAGTCCTGGTGACAAATGGAGAGTAGTGACTAGCTCCAAAGATGGCGTCACTGAAGAGATAAAGCGTTTTAAGATGGAGATGAAAATCTTGTCAGAAGACCCCAGCAAAGTTCTAAATTACATTAGCAATTAATAAAGCTATTCAGGCAGCTGTGTATTCAACAGAACACTGCTCTTTTTTATTTTATTTGTACTTTTTGGCCTGGGAATGGGTTTTAAATGGACATTATCTGTACCAGCTTCATTAAAATAAACGAAAATATTTGTTAAAAAAAAAAAAAAAGAGGGTTTCCACGGCTGTAAATCTGTAGAGGAGCAGATGCCATTTATTGAATGACTACTATGGGTATGTGCTCCATAGGTTATTTCTAATTTTCCTAGCATTATTATTTCTATGAGATAGCCGAGGGGATTATGAACCAAAGAGATGAAGTAATACTTGTACATACAAAACCGGATGCCTAAATTACTGAATGGTAATTTGAAACCAAGTTTGTGTAATTCCAAAGTTCATACCATTTCCATTCTGCTACTGTGCACCGAGGGTTCTAACATCAGTCACCCTCTTGAGAAACAGCTGAAAGTTGGCCTCTGCTCAGACTTGCGACTGGGTGACCCCTCTGCAGCATTGGACACCCTCTCTTTCTGCCTTCCGCTCCTAGTTTCACTTGATTCAACTTCTCCTCAGCCTTTCCTAATGACGGCTTCTGTCTCACTTTCTGGCCCATCCTCTCCCTATGGGTGCTGTTATTTTTTTCATCTTTTATTCTTACATCCATCCCAAATATATTTGAGTTACAGATCTGGGTCTAATTTTACAATGAAAAAGTCTAGAGTCATCCCCTCTCAATCTGAAGTTATGTGTGAAAAATATTAAATATATGCCCTGTGACCAAGAGAGCAGACTTCTTGGGAAAAGATCATCCTAGTGGAAAGGCGATACATATGAAACATGCTTCTCAGTAGCATGTTATCCAGAATTTATTATGATCCACATAGTCAAATGTGTAGGAAACAACTTTCCGGTACTCTGCTTACAGTCAAATTCCAACTCACATGCAATGACATCCTTAGGCCACGTCCTCGTCTGAATCCTGCTTGAATTTCTACAGCTCCCTACTGATACTCAGCTGCAGCCATTAAAAAAAAAAAGATCTTCAACAAAATGTTACTCCTTTCTGCCTCTGGTGGATCACTTTTCTTTGGAATGGGCCCCCATATGGATCTTTTCCACTCGGTGAGCCCAACTTCTTGGCCTAAACTAGTACTTCCAGTTTTGCATCTGTTTGTTGAGACATCTGAATTGTCTTTCGTCAATTCCTGGTTCCTGATTTTCATCAATGCCTTCAGTGCAGCTTGGATTTCTTCCTTCAGTACCACTGGCTTTTCAGCATATGTTCCCTCCTGAAAGAGTCGAATGTTGACTAATTGCTTTTGGTACAGTGACTGTATATTCCTTCTATTTTCTTTTTATACTTCCTGTGTCATTTAATTTGAGGCCCATATGGTTGTTGTTTTTATTAGGTGCTGTTGAATTAGTTAATCCCAACTCATAGTGAAACACCGCAGCAGCCACCTCTGACCTCCTTTGGCTTCGGTAGGGAGAAGAATCAGATCCCACACCAACTCAAGGCAGACTGCCGTAGGCAGAGGTAAGATAAATCTCTCTACTTTCTTTCTTTCTTTCTTTCTTTTTTTTTTACTATCCTGACACCAACTGTTCTTCCCATGTTCCTATATGTCTTCTGGATTCATTGATAATCAGTTGCAATAGCCAGCCCAAGCCAGGAACTTAGTAGGTTATCACAAGCTAGGATCAGAAAATATCAAGTATATTGTCTTTGGCCCATAGCAGCACCTCTTCTCAGCCAGCAGCCAAGTCTTTCTCTGGTCCTCAGCCTCTTAGTCACATTGGCCTCTACTCCCCGAAGCCAGAAAGCCCAACTGCTGTGCTGCCTCATTGCCCCATGGTCTCAGTAGCTCAGCTCCCCTGCTCGGTCTTAAATTGGCTCTTTTCTACTCTGTCAGGCAGGGATCTCGAATGTGCTCTCTCAGTGGCTCTTCTCCCTTGTTGATCACGGCAATTGTCTGTTCCTGTTTGTGAGATGACTCTTACTCTCAAAGGAAAGTTGAGACGCCCCACTCCCTGAGTTAGGTTCCTTTACACATATTTGTGTGGTCCTACCCAATCAGTTAGTGGGAGCTACAAGGACATAGGCAAGAGCTATAAATATGTATTTTCACTTCACCCCATGCGCCATCCTCACAGCTTTGACGTTTGAGCCCACTGGGGCAGCCCCTGTGTCAGTCTATCGTGCTGAAGGTCTGTCTCTTTTTAACTGACCTTTGACTTCAACAAGCATGATGCCTGTTCCATCTCACATAGCACTTTCCACTTTCTTGCTCTGTCTCCCACAGCACTCGACTTTTCAGTTAGGTTCTATAATCCATTGCAAATGGCCACACAGAACTCACGGAAAGTGCTCATGATAGGGGGGCTCATTATGAAAGTTCACAGGTTGCGATTCAGGTGAAGAAATGCTCAGGGTGGAGTTGTCCGGTAACCTATGTTATCAATGTCCTTCAGTGCCGCTAATAAATGTCCAAAGGGCATGGGACTCTATGAGAAGCCTCAAGCTGAAGGCAAGCTGCTCTGGTTGGGTCACGGAATGCACCTCCCCGAATTCAGTGCCCAGAGGCACCTCACTCTAGACAATCAACTTTACTTGCTCCGTGAGCTGGAAGTCCACTTCTCTGGCTTCTGGATCAAGGAGGCTCACTGTAGGGATTTCAGAGTCCCCCCAAAACACCCCACTACTGGCTTGCTGGTATTGAAATTCCCCAAAGGGGGTTGTGGGGGAGACAGCTCACTTTATACCCAGCAGAATGGCAAGCACAATGAATTCTGTTAACAAGCATTCATAACAGTCCCATACGAATCTTCCCCCCACTTTCTCATATATGATATCATCCTACAACTCATTTGCTCTTTGGCCATTCGTGTTCAATGTGGCAAATCAATCCTTCTTAAAAAAAAAAAGATTTTTAGTGCTATTGGTGAAAGCTTACACAGAAAATCAGGTTCCATTTAACAAAAGCTATGGTTGTAAGGTCAGAGGTTCAAACCTGCCAGGTACTCTTTGGGAGAAAAACGAAGCTGTAGGCTATTCTTTCAGTTTTTTAGTTTCAGAAACCCTATGCAGCAGGTCTGCTCTGTCCTGTAGGGGGTGCTATGAGTTGGAATTGATTGGCTGGCAGTGGTTTTTTAGTGGGGGGGAAAAAATCACCTTATTTATTTATTAATTGTTCAGTGATTTGGTTACATTTTTCACATTGTGTCATAATTCTCCATACTTCCATCCTGATGGTTCTCTTTCTATTAATCTAGTTCCCGTGCCACCCTGCTGCCCCTTAACGGCTCATTTTTGCTGACCGGCAAATCTATTCTTGAGATGGTCTCTCTATCCAGTGGGATATACTCAGGATGCACTTTGACTCGTGTGGACTTACATTAATGTTTTTCGGTTTTAATTTGAACTTGCATCTGAGCAACCATATCCAGTTCTGCAGGCAGCCTCTGGCCTTGATTGATTGGCGATCCTGAGTTTCTCCTTTGTCTCTTTATACAGGTGAACTAGATTTGAGCCCTGTCTATTCCATCTGGTAAGTGCAGTGTGTAAGGTGACCATAATGTTGTTGAAAAAATATTTTCAGTATGTCAGTCTTTGGTCTTGCAAAATTCTATCATTTTAGCTCCACCATAATTTCTTTTACCAAGGTCATATTTTCTAACTACTGATCCTCCTTGTTTGTTTCCAGTGTTTATACTGCAATCACCAGTAATTTGCAAAGCACCTTGGTATATGTTTAAGCAGTTTCAGATTGCAGAAGTTAGTAAAAATCTTCACTTTCTTCATCTTCGGCATTAGCGGTTGGTGTGTAAATTAGAAGAAGAATAGTCATGCTTTTCCTTGTAGGTATACAGATATTACCCTGCTACTGAAAAGACTGTACTTCAGGAGAGATCTTGAAATGTTCTTTTTGATGATGACTATCATGCTATTCCTCCTCAGTTTGTCATTGCCGGCCCCTAGACCATATGATTGTCCCATTCACGAGGACCAATACATTTCATCTCAGTAATGCCTACAGTAGTGAGCGTGGTGCTCCATGTCATTTATCTGAACTTCCAGTTTCCCTTGATTCATATTTCCTACATTCCTTCTTCCAATTAAGAGTGGATGTCTGCAGCTGTTTCTTCTCGTTTTGAGTCGTGGCACTGCAGCAAATGAAGGCTCTGGAAGCTTGGCTCCATCCACATGCAGGAAGCAGCAGTAGTACTTTGAGCGTCTTCCAACCTGAGGGGCTCACCTTCCGTCACTAGGAGAGGGTTTCAAAAATTTCATGGAAACATGGAATGAAAAGAGGGAATTTTCCCACAAATGGTTTAAAATCCTCTCATATGTCAGGTAATGTTCTGTTGCTATTCATAAGGTTTCCACTGGACAGACTTGTTTTTAGAAGTATGCGTCTAAGAGACCTTCCTGGTCTGGAAGTTCTGCTGAACCCTGTCCACCATGGGTGGCGGTCCTGGGACTTGAAAGACCAAGTGGTGGTGAAATTGTGCTGGATGTCATGGTTTCAGTTTCATGCTTTTGCTTGACTTCTCCTTCTAACTAATCTCCTCTCTTGGCATCGCTGCTAACCCAAGACCCTATCCTTTCTAAGGCCCAGCTCAAAATGCACCTACCCCTCAAAGCTTTCCATTATATTCTCAAAGCGTGCGCATCCCCTTTCTGAAAACACACAAGCTTACCCTTACCGTTACTTCCTCTGTGCCACCGGAGAAGCCACATTTGGGGGCCTGTTTCCCTTAACTGTAAAATCGATATAAAATACAGACCCCACACCATCACTATGGACCTGAACGGGAGGTAAGGGTGAAACTGCTGAGAGAAGTGGGCTGCCCTGTCTCCAGGGCTCGGCCAACGGCGCTCCTAGGTCTGCCCCTACACCGGCTCCCAAGGCCAAGGGTGCGATCCTTGGGAAGTCAGATCCTACCTTTGGTTAGGGAGTGAATCCCGAGCTTGACTTGGGAGAAGTTTCCACTTCCGATTTCCCCTCTGATTCGGTAGAAGCCGATCCGTTTTCCCAGGGTGATCTCTCTGACCACCTTCTCATCTTGGGACATGTCCTGGGTCAGCTTCTCGAAGGGCGTCAGCCGGTGGCGCCGCCCTTCCTCCCCCTCCTCGTCCTCCTCCTCGTCCTTGGTGCCCGCGGCCGCACGGCCACTGTCCACGCTGTGCCGCCGCCCTCCGCGGGCGCAGTGCGGGCTCCGCAGGCTGCCTCCGTGCGCGCACACCGCCGTCATCGCCCCGGCGGGCTCACGTCTCCATGCCCGCAGGACCGCCAGCCCCCGGCGGGCTCCGGAGGAGGGGACGAGGCCCCGAGGGCGGGAGGGGGACACCCACGATGGCCAGGGCACAGGGTCCTTGAGGGCAGCCTCGGTCAGAGGAGGGCGCAGGCCAACTTGGCAGTAGCCAGCGCAGCCAAGCGCAGGGCTGCTCGGCTCGCTGGCGACATCTCACACCTGCCGCCCGGTGAACTTGCAGCCCCCTCCAGCGGTCAGCGGGCTGGCACCTCAAGCTACCCAGAGCCACCTCCCTGGTCAGTCTCTCTGGCTGCTCACCGGTCGGCCGCTCCGCAGTCACGGTCTGTATCCCAGGACAAGATCTCCGTTCACCGTTTCCTTGGATGACCAGGGACTCTTTGATTCGGGTGTGTGAGCGCCCGGTGGGGGCCCTCCAGTCCCTGCGGCTGGTGCTCATCTCGAACCTTCGGCATGTCGGCCTCTGCTTGCTTTGGAGTCACAGGCGCCAGGGAGCTGGTAAGTCTGGAAGCCCAGGAGAGCAGACAGGAGCAAAGCGGCCTTCTGGTCACAGGGCAGCGGAGAGGGATTAAGCCCCAGCAATGTCACTTGAGCTGCCTTTATTTAGACGAGCCTTCCTCTAAGCCGTGAGCTGTCTCA